GAAGAGAGGTCTTCCTGACTATAGTCCTGGCACTCTATCTACATACCACAATAGTGCCGAACAATGCTTTCTAGGCATTCATCTTGCCAGGCACCAGGAGCGGAGTTCCATAGACAACCTGCTCTCTGGTCTAGCAATGAGTGACCCTGCTTCTCTTCTGGAATGTGTGAGCCATTGTACAAAGGACACATGGCTATCCATTCATAGCCTGCCAGGGGTAAAGTTGGCAGGAAGGAATTTCTAAGGGAGCTGCTGTGCAGCAAATCTCAGGAGGAAGGGGATATTTTTTCCTGCCTTTTTTTCCCCGCCTCTCACTTTTAATACCTAGAAGACTGCTCTTTGCCTATCCATAAAGTATTTCACAGGCATGGCATTGTAGACTTAATACAGTGGAAAGCATCCCTGTGACAAACTCTCTCTGGTCTTCAGGCTTGGAAAAAGCAGCACCTGGGACTGTGTTCTCCATATTCTATGGCAACAGGTACAATCAGCTTGGTATTTCATTACTACCTACCAGGGTATTGCTGGCCACAGAGAATCCCTTTCACCAGTGGACAGCCATGGAGAAACACAGAGCCACATGGATGGACTCTGATGATAGTTCTACATAACAAGACTTAGACATCCCTTCTGAGGGGATAGAATGTAGCACGAGAGCCAGCCTGTTAGACTACCCAGATGGTGTCAGAAGCTATAAAGATGAGACAGGGCTAGTTGGATTAATATTATTTTCCTCTCTTAAAATGAGACAGAACTAGTGAGTTTAAGCATACTGGAGTAGCCCGTTCTCCGCTGCTATAATAGATAAAATATAAAAGCCCTCCACTGTGCTTTGGTGACACAGAAACTGTCCTTGCCTCTGCAACAAGAGATTGGCACAGGGTGGGAAGGCTACCTGGAGCACAGACTAGCAGGGGTTCCCACCTGCACAGTGGCTGCATGGTTCATGAGGTTGGCTTGGCAGTTCTGGATGGAGGGTGGGGTAAGGACACACTCCCATACAGTTGCTGCTACACCAACAGCTGGGCTGGATGACATTTATATCATGACTTGGCTGCATTAAGAGATGAATCACAGAAAATTAGTGATAGAAATGACTTATTAGGTCATCTAATCTATACTCCTGCCACTTCAAAGTACCTCCCCCAATCTATATTTTTCATCATCTCACTCAATCTGTTTTTAAATTGTATGAGATAGAGTTTTCGCCATCCTTCCCTTATAGAGAATCCTCTTACATCTAAACCCTACCTATCCTTTATTCTTGTTTACAGCATACAGTCAACTCTGCTATAACATGCCAAATGTGTTCCCCCAAAGCACCATGTTATAAAAAAATCATGCTATAAAAACAACAGAGTTTAGGGAGGTGATGGTTCCTAAAGTGGGTGATACCGCCCCCAGGGTGGCACTAGAACAATCCAGAGGGGTGGTAGTAGCCTCAGGTACAATGGGAGGGCATTGAATAAAAATAAAGGGGGTGGTGGAAGCATCAGGAAAGAAGAGAAGAAAATTTTGAAAAACCATTCCTGCCTGTTTCATCTGTTATGTAACAGAGTTAAAGTCATAGTGATTACATTATTTTCCAAATAAACGCACAAAATGCAAGTTATAGCCAATCAGTGGTCAAGTCCACCTACAGGTCTTAACGAGCAAGTGTTGGCAGGCCAACATATTGTGCATTGTTGGGATGTTCAGCATGCATCAACAGGAGTATGTGTGTGTAATGACTTGTTTACAATATGATATTATATAGTTACATGACTCAATATGTGTCATCAAAATTTCAGTACAGGAAAAAACCTAAAGATTTACAAGTCATTAAATTTAAGATGTATCATTTAAAAAAAAACTATTTTTATATATTTTTTGAAATGACGCAAATTTTTAAAAAAAAAACTGTTAAAGAGTTAAAGAAAGTAGATTTCCAGGAGGTTATTGAGTGATTTTTTTTTTGAAAAGGGGACAGTAGGCCAAATGAGTTTGGGAACCTCTGATTTAGACCCTTGGTGTTGACACAGACTAGCCATGTGGTCAAGTAACTTGTCTTCTCTGATCTTTAATTCTTTAGCTTTAAAATCAGAGTAATAATAACATTTTCTACTACATCATTGGTATAGTGGATAGAGAGCCAGAAAGACATGGGTAGAAGTCTTGCTGCTGACACAGACTGGCTGTATGACTTAAGGAATTAATATCCTCCCAAGGAAAGTGTTTCAGCCAACAAGTTGCCAAATAGGTCCTGATTTGCAGTGAGAGAAAGAGTTTCCCTATAGGAAGATCCTTATACCAATGACATCAGGGAGTTGGGGACAACAAACAAACCTCACAGAGCTTTTGAAATCACAAAATGCTGTATATAAGGTGTTACTATCACCCCCAATTTCTTTTGTTTTGTTTTTAATAAATTTAATTTTTGGGTTTTCCCCAATTACATGTAAAAACAATTTAAAAAATTTAAAAAAAATTTTGAGTTCCAAATTCTCTTCCTCCTTTCTTCCCCTCATTGAGAAAGGATTTTGATTTTATATAGGTTTCATCACCAATTTTTTTTTTTAAAATGGACAGGACTTGAAATATTTCCCTCACAAGCTTATCCATACATCACATCCTACCTCCTGCCTCTGGGCTGCCCTGGGCCTAAAATGTGCTCCTTCATCTATCTCTTAAAATCCCTTGCTTCCTTCATTGTTCATTGACCCTCCAACATGAGTCTTTTCCTCATTCTTACAATTGCTAATGCTACCCAAAAATTATCATATGTGATATTTCCCTAAAGAGAAGGTAAACTTTTTGACAAGGGCATACTTGACTTTTGTCTTTGTATTCCCAATAAGGTCAATAGGTGGAACAATGGATAGAGCACTGGACCCATGGTCAGGAAGATCTGACTTCAAATCCATTCTCAGACCCTTTCTAGTTGTGTGACCTTGGACAAGTCCCCCTCTGCCTTAGTTTCCTCAACTGTAAAATAGGGATAATAACAGTATTTACCTCCCAGGGTTGCTGTAAGGATCAAATTAGAAATATTTGCAATGTATAACACCTGACATATAGTAGGTGTGGTTCCATATGGTTCTTAGTATAGTGCTTTGCAAAATATATGTGCTTGATGAATGTAGATCATTGTGAAACTCAAGTTTTCTTCACATATAGAGAGAGCAGCTTTTATTCAATTGAATAAGAACTTTTAAAGTATCTATGGTGTTATATAAATTAACTAGGACACAGTAAAATTAAATTTATTGACAGACAATATACCTTACAAGTTTTTATATCTTTAGGAAAAAAAAGCAGTGGGTGATATGTACTTCTTTTGCTGCAATCATTTCTTTTTCATTATTTGGCATTAATTCACAGGATTTCAGCACATTTTTAAATACATCATCATGAACCCACACTTTTTTGGATATAAAGTGCACTTTTGTTGAATACTGCATTTTTCAATGTCTAATCTTGATTATAGCCCATAGGTTTTCAATGGATTTTAAGTGAGGCAAACTCCTATATCATTGAAGCATGATTTATCTCCTTCTCTTAGATAAATTTGCTAGCCTTTTGTGACATGTGGAATGAGTCAAAATCATGGTTTAGTGTTCCAGTATCTATTTGGGGATTTCAGTAATTTTGGAACTTTGCTTATTTTCATTATTTGCAGCAATCATTTCTAGGTTTTTGACATTTTTCATTTCTGACTGCATTTTCCTTTGCACTTTAGTGCTACTGGTCCTGTTTAATTGTGAGTTTAAAAAATCCTTAAAATGCTATGATCCTTGAAACGCTTGATTTCCTCAAATCTATTGCAATTATCACTGACGGTCACTAAACTATGCTCTTTTAAAGCTATAACTTTTGCATATGTCTTTGGAATAATATTTGTTCTCTAAAAACACAACAGAAGAGCAACAAAACGTGTTATATGACATAAGATCCAGCAATCAATAGACTGAGAGCTAACTAAAGATGCGGAGACCAATTCAGTGGCATTTCTGATGTTCATGTTGAGAAGCCCAGTGTTGGCAGAAGCATACACACACATGGTCATTGCTGCCACAAAATAAAACCTTATCAAAATCTTTGGCTTTTCCCAAGTAATTCACACATAATTATTCTATATACCCAGGACAAAGACAAAGACAAAAATTGACATTGTAAATTATAAAACACCTCACAAATTTGAGCTATTGTTATCAGGGGACATAAAAATGCTCAGCCTACAGTCAATTAGTATTTTCCAAGGAATCAGCAAGCTTGTGGGTGTCAAGGGAAGGGGATGAGGGATGCTGCTATTTTAGTTGTATGCTTTTTTAATGTTGTCCAGCTTCAGTAAACCACAGGAAGAGCAAAGATCCTCGAGTTTTTATTTTCCCGTTCATTTCCCTTTGACCTATTGTTTCTATTAGAGGTCTATCTTCATTGTATTCATGTATATACTTTGACCTGTTTTCCACCTCAAATAAAATATTAAAGAATATTTAAGTCAAGTCAACCCAAGAAAAATGTAGTAAGCACCTACTATGTGCCAGGCACTGTGTTAAACTCTGGGGATACAAAGAAAAAGGGGAAAATAGTTTCTGCCCTGAAGGAACTCACATTCTAATGGGAGAGAAAGCATGCAAAGAATTTGGAATGTACAAGATGTCTACAGAGTAGATGGAAGGTAATTTGAGAGAGGAAGACACTAACAGCTGGGGGAAGTCAGAAAGGCCTCCGGTAGAAGTGTGGGATTAAAGCAGATGGTCTCCCTTTCCTGGGACAGTATCCAAATTTATTACCATAAATGCATTATATTCCCTTTTTCTTTCTTCTGATGTGCACAAAATTCAGTTACACTAAAACTGGGTGGAAGGGTGAAGTGTAGGATGCAGGGCGGAGAGAAGGAAATAGCCAGCCTGGCATTCCATTTCTGGTCATACTTTGGTTTAAGGGAAAAAAAATGTTTTTCTTGAGTGCAATATGCTTCATCATAACCATTATCCACTAAAGTCTTGGAGGCTTACCTTAATCTGACCCTTTAAACAAGGTTCACTGCACACAGACCGTACCATGCCACTTTTGTTCATTTGAATCTTATAGTCATCAATATTCAGCACCCCTTCATGCCAGGTCCCGATGTGGACATAATCATACCGGTTAGCATCAGTGTACTGAAGATTCATGATATCATACCTAGGAAGGAGAAGAAACAGCATATCATAGTTACAGATTCCCTAAATAGCTACTTCATTCTGTACATAGTGATGCTGTCTTAAGAGAACAATCAATTCCTAAGAACTTGGGAACTGGTCATGTGGCATGGGAGACACTGGCACAGGACCACCCAGCATGGCATGGTGTGCCCACATCAGAGAAAGTGCTGTGCTCTGTGAGCAAAGCAGAATTGAAGCAGCTCAAAAGAAATGTGAGATGTGCAAATTTAGAGAATCTACTCCAAATATTCACATGGACTATTTGTGCCCAACTCGTGGTAGAACATTCCAAGCTCCTATTGGTCTGATCAGCCACAGTTGGACACACTGAGACTTGACTCTAGTATAGTGATGTCATTTTGGTCCTCTCTGAGAACAAAGTACAACAGCCCATAACACAAACTTCCCAATTCCATCCTTCAGTATCCATCTGTCCATTATCTATCTATTTCCTTCAACATTTCAAAAAATCTATGTTTTTATCAGTGTGGGCATTCCCTCCAGGAGTAAAGCTCACAACATCTCCAAAATGTCATGAGATGCTTTGACTAAAAGTAAAACAAAAGGAAAAAATCTGAACCATCATGTATTGGCCAATATTTTGGTTATAAGCCTCTCCAAATTTAATGTGTGGTACTTGGGTGATAGAGTGAATAGAAGACTAGACCTGGAGTCAGGAAGATCTGAATTCAAATCCAGCCTCTGGCATTTAATAGTTGTGTGACCCTGGGCAAGTTACTTTACCCCATTTGCCTCAGTTCCTCATCTGTAAAATGGGAGCACACTGGAGAAGAAAATGGCAGACCATTCTAGTATCTTTACCAAGAAAACCCCATGGACAAGTTCATGGGGCATGAAGAGTTGGATACAACTGAATGACTAAACAACAAACACCCGGTCTGTCATTAGACTTTTCCTGAAAGCTATTTTTAGCATTGTAGGCCCTATCGGAGTTTGTGTTCCACTGTCATAGCCTTGAGTCTGATTTTTCTGAAGAGATATTTTTTTTAAATCAGGGTCAATTCTATGTCAGAACAAAATATCAGAGTAGGACTTTCATGGATTATATGCACTTGACAAAAATATAGTGCATTTTATGTTGTAAGTGTATAGTTCGACCTTGGATAGCTTCTTCTAAGCACCATTCTCTCTCCCTGTAGTGAAAATGATAACTTCCAGGTTATTAGCATCAGTAATGATAATGAATTATTATACTTATGGAGCTGCTTCAGAAAATATTTCAGAGGCGATTGAGAGAGGCCATATTGGTATATTGGAAAGAAAACTGGATTTGGAGTCATAAGCCCTGGGTTTGAGTCCCATCTCAGATACTTAGTAGCTGTGTGACCCTGGGCAAGTCATTTAACCCCATTGGGCCTCAGTTTCCTGTAAAATGAGGGGGTTGGGCTTAATGGTGTCTCAAATCCCTTCCAGGTCTAGCACTAAGATCCCAAGTCTCATATCTGAAACTTATTAGCTGTAGGACCTCTCAGTGCCATTGCCTCTGACCATTGCCAGGAAAATGGATATAATAAAACTTGCACTATCTCCCTCATAAGGTTGTTATGAAGAAAATGTTTTATAAACTTTCTTTTTTTTCTTTTTTTAAAATTTTCTTTTTAATTTATGGAATAAAACAAGCATTTCCATAACATAGTACAATAAAAATGATGATTGTTCATGAAACTGCAAACCTACTATGCACAACTTGCTATTTTTTTCAAATACAAAACAAAATTATCATGCAATTTTTTCTTTTTTTCCTTCCCTACCACTATCCCCACCCTAGAAATGGCTACCATTAGACCCAAATAAATACATATTTACATGTAAAATTATTCTATACATATGTCTATCAATTTTTCTCTGGATGCAGATAGCATCTTTCTTCATGTGTCCTTTATAGTTATTTTTGGTGTTTGTAATAGACAAAATGATTTATTCACTTAAATTTGTTCTTAAAACAATATTGTTGTTACTGTATACAATGTTCTCTTGGTTCTGCCCATTTCTTTGTTTATTATTTCATGTAACTCTTCCCATGTTTTTCTTAGATCATTGAGCTCATCATTTCTTATACCACAATACTGTTCCATCACAATCATATACCACAGCTTGTTCAGTCACTCCCCAGTTGATGGGCACTACTGCAATTTCTAGTTTTTTGCCATCACAAAGAGAGCTGCTATAAACATTTTAAAACATATAGGTTCTTTTTCTTTTCCCCTAATCATCTTTGGAAATAGACCAAGTAGTGGTATTGCTGGGTCAAAGAGTGTAGGTCGTTTAATAGTTCTTTAGTCATAATTCCACCTCTCCAAAATGGTTGGATTGTTTTACAATTCCACCAACAATGAATTAGTGTCCCAATTTTTCCACATTCCTTCCAACATCTGTCCCTTTCTCCTTATATTATTTTAACCAATCTGGTAGGTATAAAATGATATCTCAAGGTTGTTTTAATCCGCACTTCTCTAATCGGTAATGATTTAAGCATTTTGTATGACTATAAATTGTTTTGATTTCTTCATTGGAAAACTGTTCATATCCTGTTCATATCAATTGGGGAATGATTTGTATTCGTACAGATTTGACAAAGTTCATTCTGTATTTTAGATATTAGACCTTTATCTGATAAACTGTCTATAAAAAATTTCCTCGATTTTCTGCTTTCCTTCTAATCTTGGTTATATTTGTTCTATTTGTACAAAAACTTTTAAAAAATTTAATGTAATCAAAATTATCTATTTTATGCCTAATTGCTCTCCTTCACTTTTTTGTTCATAAATTTTTCACCTATCCATGAGTTGCTAAGTAATATGTTTTATGTTCTTCTAATTTTCTTGTAAAATTTCTCTTTATATCTAGGTCATATATACATTTTGAGCTTTTCTTGGTAAACAGTATGAGATATTGGTCCATGTTCACTTTCTGCCATATTGCTTTCTAGTTTTCCTAACAATTTTTACCAAATAATGAATTCTTATTCCCAAATCTTAGTCTTTACACTTGTCAAATCCAAGGTTATTATGTTTATTTGTTGCTGCAAATTGCATGTCTATTCTATTCCATTAATCTACCTTTATATTTCTCAGCTAGTACCAGATGGTTTTGATAATTACTGCCTTAGAATATAGTATAAGACCTGGTACTGCTAAACCTCCTTCCTTTGTACTTTTTTCAGTATTTCCTTTGATATTCTTGACTTTTTTTTCTAAATGAATTTTATTATTTTTTCTAATTCAGTAAAATGATGCTTTTAGTAATTAAATTGGGATGGCATTGAATATATAAATTAGTTTGAGTACAATTGTCATTTTTATTTTATTGGCCCATGAACAATTAATATCTCTCCAATTATTTAAATCTGATTATATTTGTATTAAAAGGGTTTTTTAAAATAATTTTGCTTATATAGTTTTTGGGTTTGTTTTGGCAGGCATACTCCCAGGTATTTTATATTGTCTAGAGTTATTTTAAATGGGGTGTTGTTTTTTTTTTTTACTATCTCTTCTTGCAGAGTTTTGTTTGCGATATATAGGAATGTCAATGATTTATTTGGATTTACTTTATATCTTGCTACTTTGCTAAAATTATTAATTGTTTCAACTAATTTTTTTTGTTGAGGCTTTGGGATTTTCCAAGAATATCATCATATCATCTGCAAAAAGAGATAGTTTTATTACCTCATTCCCTATTCTGATTCTTTCAATTTCTTTTTCCTAGGTGGCTCAATGGATACAATACTGGGCCTGGAGTCAGGAAGGACTCATCTTCCTGAGTTCAAATTTAGCTGACACTTACTAGCTGGGTGACCCTGAGCAAATAATTTAACCCTGTTTGCCTCAGTCTCCTCCTCTGCAAAATGAGCTGGAGCAGGAAATGGCAAACCTCTCTAGTATCTTTGCCAAGAAAACCCCAAATGGGGTCACCAAGAGTGTGACATGAATAGCCACAAAGCCATTATTATTATTCATCCTTCTGTAATGGCGCTGTACGCTTTGGCAACAAATGTATAGAGTGCTTAGCATGTGATTCAAAAAGAGAGAGTGATAACCACTGGGGATCAGGCCAAGATTCTCCAAGACATATTCTCTAGCTACTTATCTCCAAGCCTCGGGCTTTTTATTACAGAAAGCTAATTGCTATGTCTTGGGCCCTCCATTCCTTGCTCAGCTTACACAGCTGGAATTTACTCTCTATGGGGCAGCAGGCTGGTTTCCACTGCAAACTCATGCCAGATTCTTCAAACACAGCTGCAGGGGGAAAACCAGGATGATGATGATGGACAAAGGAAATTTTTTAAAAAATCTCTCATGGGTCAAATGAAAATGCATCAGCTAATGTGAAGGGAAAGAAGTGAGCTCTTTAAACTCATGCCATAAACCCTGCTGATGATCATTCATTTATTTAACAAGAATGTATTAAGTACTATTGTATGCAAAGCAAGTTCCTGGTACTTAGGAAGGAAAAAATTTTCCTCCTTTGTGGGGCCAAAAATATCTCAGACTTATTTATGTAGCCAGTCTTCAGTGTAATTTGGTGCTGCATATAAATCTTGTTTATGATATACTATTATCCATTTTAATTATTTGGATTAATGTTCATTTCTAATTCCCACCCTTACTCTCCATACTCATTAAGGCTGAAAAACCTGTTGTGAATGTCTAATATGAGTGGTTTCCTTAAAGTTTCTTTCCATTCTCTCTGTTTCTCTCTCTGTCTCTGTCTCATTTATTCCTTCCCCTTTGTGTGTATTAGGGCAGAGACAATGACATGTTCCGCTTCCCTATCTATGCCTCAGGACTATAACTGTAGAGTGGAGTAGAAGAGAATAGGAGTTGGGGGAGATTGAAAAGGGAACTAAAAAGAGACCCACCAGCCACCTCCTAGAGTACATAAAATGGTTCCTGTAAATGGGCTTGGGGACAGTAGTGACTAAGCCCTTGATTAATATCTTGGGAGAAATAAACTAAAAAA